CCTCAATTAACTATGTTGAAACGGAACGTCATTTAAACTTTTGTACTTTTGTGTGTGTGGAATATTTTTGTGAGCGATGAAGTATACAGTCTACCATGGGCGTACCGGGCGGGGGGCCCCAGTTGTTGGCTGTCAGCTATTCGCTGGGCAATTTTGGTTTATTAAAAAAAAATTGGACAAATTCTGTCAATTTTGTGATGTTTCCAAAATTTTTGTTAGGTTCCGGAAAATTATGGTATGTCCGGGAAAAATTTTTGATCCCTTAAATGGTACACTGACCGAAATATTTTGGCGACGGGGGGGGGGTCGCCAAAACTAATTCCGGAAAAAAATTTTCGGTACGTGTCGGGCAAAATCCGGAAAAGTCGGGCAAATTTCTTTCCGCCCCCCTAAATTTTTCCTTCCGTTACGCCCATGCAGTCTACTTTCGTTTTTACGGAATGCTTCTGTAATGCATCCCAACCATACGAGCAATTATATATACTGTGTATATGTAAGAAAAAAAAACATAGGAAAAGGTTTTTTTACGAAGTAACCACTCATTTGATTCTGTTTTTCGAACAAACGTTTCCGCTTAAAAGTCCACTTTTACCGCTAATTACTCCCTGTTATTTATTAGACGCGTGCATATTAACATATTCGCCAACGCATGATGTCATCGTTTGCTAAAGTGCGGTTGTTATTCCGACTAATTTTATACTATGTGACTGAATTTATAGATCTAAATAACCCGTAATATCTTAGAAATTCTTATCTCTAAAATCGTTTTGTGTTCTTAGTTATAGCTAAGCCATCGTGCATTAACGTTGTCCTCTACAGATACCCATGTGTGATGCGTCTGGCATGACTGCACTAACACATTATTATTATGCTTTCCTTCAAACTTTTAGCTCTTGGCCGCAATGAAGAATTTCGACACAAATAAATTATGCAAACTAACAATAAATACTGACAAACATTTTTAGGATCTTTGTTTGAGAAGAAACTTCACGATTTCCGAGCTTATAGCGATAAAGTAAACTATGTTTTCGAGGGGGCCAAATTTCCGAAGGGGAGGCCATATTTCCTAGGAAATATGGCCCCCAGGGGGGGGGGCAAATTTTGGACGGGACAAATTTGCTGGGACACCGGCGAAACAAGCGAATCCGTATATTCTTGTACAGCGTAAACAGGTTACGCGAGGTCATTATATTTGTGTTTATTTATATTGAACTAAGTCAGATCTATAAGAGCATATTTAAACTAAATATTAATTATAGCAATAGGAGAGAAAGGAAATTTCGTGTGAATCACCACTTGCATGGAGACGCCTAGATGCAGCTTGGATGCAGTTTGCCTGTAGTTGAAAATCTCCAGAAATATCGGTATATCTTAGACTGAAAACATAGACGGGATCTTCATAGATTTCAGCTGATTCGTGCCAAACTTCGCTCTACACATAAATAATATCGATTGATAAATCTTTTGGCTATTTATTTGTTTCGAAGACTTGTATATTTCATTAAAGAATATCTCGCCACTCCTTGACGAGTAGCTGTCAAATACTGCCATTTTTTGGTTAGACACGTGACCGACCCAGACCAGGGCTTCCTCGTGTCTCGCCTCGTTCTCACACTGAAGCCCTGGGAACGAGGTTGGTATCTGGTAATGTTTTAGAAATTTCTAATTTTCTTCGAACTCTATGAAACAATGCATGCATTTTTATTAATTATACTCCTAATTAACTATTAATTATTATTAATTAATTATACTCCTAATTAATAATTAATTATGCTCCTAGTCAGAGCTTTAAAGACTTGTTTTATATTTTCTCAACGTCATTAAGCTCCTTTAAAATAAGAGCCTAACTCAGCCTATAAATACTTTTTAGATACTTATGTATAAGTTATTTGTTTGTACGACTTTTATATGTGCTTGTTGTACTGATGTCCAATTTAATGTGTAGTTTTAATAGTAAATTTGTAATAAGTAGACGATAACAGTTGAACAGAAGGCCCAATGTAAGATTAGCGTTGCTAAACTGTTTTTTGTATAATTGCACCTTCTTTAAATAAAGTTGACTGTATTATCACCAACTGCTTCGTGTGCGTGGAGGATATCAACACATGCGCTTTGTAAAAAGGCGGTGCTTGAAGCAGAAGCAAAATTTCGTATAAACAAAAATTTTAACCGCCTGCAAAGTTTTTAAAGATCACTCAGCTGAAGCAATACTCTTGATTTATCCCCGAGCCAACGGCGCGTAGCGCCATTCCGGGCGTTAGCCCGGGGCGAGGGTACTAATTCCGCCCGGCTATTTACACCTGGAGAAAGGAACGCACTAGCGAAGTCTAAAGTTCATCAAATACCGTGGGCGCATGGCTATGATCCAAGGGTGGACCTCCTCATTGATCTCAAAAATATGGCTGTTTTCCAGGAGTGGGATAAGCACACTGAGTATATTAAAGCAAGATTTCAATTTTCAAAAGCATATATTTGGAAAATCGTGTTTCACACAATGAGCTTTGAAGCAATTTTTGTTTGAAAAAATGAGAATCGAAGAATTGATTTAATATGGAAAATCGTGAAATAGAGGGCAAGTTCGCATTGAATGTTTAATGTTTAATATGATTATGAATTTTGTTGTTTTAATAATTTATTTGGTAAAACACACGGCGGTCGGTTGCTATGCAAAAACCTCCCGGAAGCGCAGGCTCGCATTGTCAGCAGAATAGCCCATTAATATTCAAATTTCCCACCAAAATATTCAAATATGGCGGCCAGCGATGTCTCTTCGAAGTTATCTAATCTAAACTTAGGCGAGGATAACAATGAAATGGAGAGACCAAAGAATTTTTGGAACCGAGCTTTGGTGGCTATGAAGTTTAATTTCGAGCCTACCTGGCTTGACGCGACATGGAAGGCCGAACAGAAACCAAATTTCGGAACTGATGCGAAATTTGCACTAAGCCGCGGTTACCGCGGTATTGCAGAATATACACAATATACTCCACCAGTATACACTGCAAATTTTGTATACATATGCTTTACAGTGTATACTCATCTACTATACACAATATACATGTGACAAACATGTCTATAGTCAAAACTGTATATTCTCGCAATCTCGCTTTTATCAACTTGCTCATATATAAAATAGCTAGTCTATATATATTGTGTATATAGTGTATAGGCTATGGTATGCATATACAAAATAATGAAAATATACACAATATACATGTCTATTTAGACATAGTCAAAACTGTATATACTGTATATTCTCGCTTAATTTTATCAACTTAATTGTAAATATTATTGCATGCAGATATATGAAACGTTGTTTTGTAATCAAATATTCTATTACACATTTTAGCACTCAAACCGGTCTTATAGTTATATTTATACCTACAAGTCATAAAGGCATGTTTCGTCGTTCTTAAAAGAATCCCGCTTTATATACAATCAATGACGCATAGTCATATGATACATAAATCATAAAGGCATATATGTTTCCTCCTTCCTAAGAAAACCCGCTTTATACATTCAGTGACTGACACATAGTCATATGATACATAAGTCATAAAGGCATGCATATGTTTCCTCGTTCTTAAAAAAATCCCGCTTTATACATAAGACATGTACTCACTGATAGTCACTCAAACACTCCCTATACAGTATACATACTTTAAATTTGACTATATACTGCATACTTGTAGATTTTATTTTTGTGGAGGTAGCCAATCTTTAAATGGAGCTAGACTATGCCACATTCTCGTACCCAGAGCCCGCCTTACACACGATCAACAGAGCATGACAAGGACGCGGTGTACGAGAATGGGTTTGCCTCAACAGTCAACTGCAGATCAAAATTTAGCCTCTGAACGAGAACAAAATGCCAAGTGTGTCAATGTCATGTTTATGCGCATATTCTGGGTATTTCAGTCTTATTTAATACAGTGGAATATAGAAGTGCATTCTGAGAGTTCTTGCAGTTATTTCAGTTAGTCAGTAACTCCTGGCTTAGATAACAATCTCCAAATGATTTTTGGAG